GCCTGGACGCGGTGCTGTGCAGCCTGCTCTGGGTGACCCTGCTTGGGCAGGGGGTTGGACTGGGTGACCCACTGAGGTCCCTTCCAACCCCTGCCATTCTGTGATTCTGTGAAGTTTAGGGCAGCAGGTTGAAAGCAAACAGAAGTACTTTTTCACCAGCCAGTTCAGTTGTGGCACCCTTAGGCACTGAAAGTTTGAAGGCTTTGTGAAGTTTGAAAGGCTTCATGGAAGTTTTGAAGGTTTGGTAGGTGCTGGAGGAGAGACCTGGAGCTGGGAAGTGTCGGTTGGGTTGTCTAGGTAGATCCGAGCTATCCTTGGCTGGTGTTTGTATAAGCTGTTCAGAAGAGCCTCCGGTGATGGAGATTTCACAACGTCTGTAGGCAATCTCTCCCTACACATCGCTAGCCCTACCTGTCGGACACAGTTTCTTCACGTCCAACCTCATTCACTTTTGCTGCAATTCAAACCTCCTACTGCAATCCCCAGGAGACCTGGAGAGCAGCTTGTCCACGCCGGTCTTCACCTCTCAGACAGACGACAGGCTGGCTGGTGCAGTTTTTATGTGCAACGTGGCATTTTGATTGATGTTCAGCCTCTGATGCTTCCTGACCCCGGGCTCTTCTTGGTACCGCGCAGCAGTTTCTTCCCACCTGCATACAGATGTTTGCACCTACTGAATGCAGCTGTATTTTTCTGGCTTTTCTCCAGCTCTCAGCATACTTTGACTTCTACTCCAGTTTTCTAGAGTGTTTTTATTTCTCCTGGCATAATACCTGCGTGTTGAACATGTTTGTCACGTCGCTCTCATCACCGATGACATACTGGGTAGTGTCACGGCCGGGACGAGTCTCCGTGCTCAGCACATCCTCCCAGTCTGGCGGTGAACCCCCCCCAGCCGCTCTCTCCATATGGTCTTCTGATGAGTTGTATGCCCACATTAGAGCAGTTTCGCCTGAGCGTGTTGCTCTGGTGTGCTGCCGAGGAGGCCGTCTGCGGCAGCACCTAATGAATATCGAGATCTACGGCGCTGAGTGCTTCTCCAGCTATTCGCAGGCCGGTTACTCTGCTGCAGAAGGAAATTAAATTGTTCTTGACAAACCCGTGTCAGCAGTCACTTATCATCTTGTTATCTTCTAAGTGCTTATAAATAGGTTGTTTCATTATTTGTTCCATCAGTTTTCCAGGAGTTCGAGTTAAGTGACCGGTTTGTAATTCCCTGACTTTTCCTTTTGCGTTATTTTTAAAGCTAAACCCGATGTTTGCTTTTTTTTTTCTGGTCTTCTAAAACCTCTCCTATCTGCCGTGAGCTAAGCAGCTCTGCGGCGGCTTCAGCTGAGCCCTTCCCTCAACACCTTGGGGGCGGCTGGTGGAAGGACCAACGCCTTGGTTTGGTTATTGCCTTCCTGCTGGGATGCAGCTTCCCTCCTGCCTCTGTGGGTCCTGCCTGCGGGAGCTCGTTTGAATCTTGACCTTTTCCAGTTCCCAGCCGGTGCTTTTAAAAGGTTCCATTTATCCATGCAGAAATTTTGTGTAGTGTTGTGTGTAATCTGAAATGATATGGAATATCTGGGGCCAAATCGTGGCTTCGATTAACATTAGGACAACAGCGGTGGAGCTACGTGGCCGTGGCGGTGGGTGTAATTTGGCTTTCGGAGTGATTTTCAGGAGCGCCTGGTAACTCTTGGTGTCCCATTTGGCATGACCTGGGTTTTCGGAGAGCGGTGACCCCCCTGCCCGGGAGATGCTCGCGCAGTGGCGTCACACATGCCAGCATCCCTTTGCCGCGTCGTATCCACCCTGCCAGGGTCTATCTGTTTCTTTATTAGCTCTGTTTGCCGATTTCTCAATTCTCTTCCATTTTTTTTTTTTCTTTCTATTCCTTCAACAGGAATCATTAACCAATGGCAACAGGAATCCAAGGATAAAGTGATTTCCCTATTGTTAACCCACCTGCCTTTACTGAAGCCCGGAAACATCGAGGCAAAAGTCGAATACATGAAACTCTTGCCCAAAATCCTGGCCCACTCGATCGAACACAACCAACACATCGAGGAGAGCAGGCAGCTGCTGTCCTACGCCTTGATACACCCGGCCACCTCCTTGGAGGACAGGAGTGCCCTGGCCATGTGGCTCAACCACCTGGAGGACCGCACGTCGGGTGGCTTCGGTGGCCAGAGCAGAGGTCGCTCGGATTCGGTGGACTACGGGCAGACGCACTACTATCACCAAAGACAAAACTCCGACGACAAACTCAACGGATGGCAAAACTCTCGAGACTCGGGCATAAGCGTCAGCGCTTCCAGCTGGCAGGACAAAAACCTGGCGTGCGAGAACGGCCATCTGCCCCTCTACTCCTCCTCCTCCGTCCCCACGACCATCAACACCATCGGCACTAGCACAAGCACCAGTAAGTACCCACGGGAAGCTCTGGGAACGGCCGCCCGCGGCCGATCTGCACAGCACGGTCCCCCCCATCCTGCTAGAAAATATTGCTTTGCCGTGGTTAGCAGGGGGGCCAGGTTCATCTGGGCCATAGAAAACTCCTTTTTTTCATTTTTTTCCTTTCCCCTACCTGCTTTTTTATTTCCTGCCTGCCTTTTGTTATTTTTATTTTTTTTTTCTCTCTAGTCGTCTGGGATTTGAAAGACCTGACAGCTGGAGAGGAGGGAAAAACAGCCAAGCTGTTAGAGCAAAAAAGCGCATTATTGAAGGGAGCGCCTTGTATTTCGCGTAGCTCCATCTAGATTTGCAGTTCCCATTTCAGGAGTTCCTAAAGCAAGCGGGGAGCTGATGCTTCATGTCCAAAAGTGAGCTGGGGGACTCGAGGCAAGTCCAAAGGCGACCTGGGGACTGACTGGGAGGAAATGGGATCGGGGTCCCGAGGCACAGGCGTCGTTTTTGGAAGCGGGGCTGGGATCCGCCATCTTCAGGGCGTATCTGTAAGCGTTCCCTTGTATCCGCAGCGCGTAGAGGGGTGAAGCTGGTGGTGATCACGGGGGTTAGGTGCACAGTCCTCGGTGTTTTCCAGGAGACTTTGGGTTGCTCCTCCCACATGGAGGCCCTGCCAGGCTGTGATGGGAGTGGTGGACGGTGCAGAGCCCAGCCCAAGGCTTGGACAATCGGAGACCTTGCAGAGCACCGTGGCCAGGGATTTATCACTGGCTTTGCGTGGAGATGTAGTGCTGCTGTAGCTGTTTTTTAAAGCAGCCATCGATGCCTGCAAACCGTCCTCGGGAGAGGAGGAACAAAGCATTTTCTCAGTGAGGTTCAGGAGCTCTTCTGTGGAGGGCTGTCACTCCTGCCTTGCTGTCACCTTGGGTGACTGCCACCATCTCGTCTGCAAGGCTGGACGTCCTCCCTTACTTTGGGGCATTCAGAAGGTCTCTCTCCAAGATGCTCGGCATCTCCCTAGGTATCACAAACTGAAGCACAGGAGGTTCCACCTGAAGATGAGGAAGAACTTCTTCCCTCTGAGGGTGACGGAGCCCTGGCCCAGGCTGCCCAGGGAGGCTGTGGAGTCTCCTTCTCTGGAGATATTCCAGCCCCGCCTGGACACGGTGCTGTGCAGCCTGCTGTGGGTGACCCTGCTTGGGCAGGGGGTTGGACTGGGTGACCCACAGAGGGCCCTTCCAACCCCGAACATTCTGTGATCAGGGATGCAGAGAGTGCTTCGGGGAGGAGAGGCTTCTTGTGGCGAGGGCGCTGGCTTCTCTATCAGCATGCGGAAAGCCACAATTAAATAGCTGAAAGCTTTAAATTGGTCACTTAAGGCTTCTGGGTTTTTCCCTCGCTGGTAATAAGCACTTTTTTTAGGTGGTGTTTCAAATCAACAACAATATGAAACACGGCTCTGGGTTTACTACTGTAGCCCCCTGGTCCCTGCCTCTCCGGTGCCCATCCTTGCCAGCTGCCGGCTCTGCTTCCCTGAGAATTTAGAAAAGTCTCAGCTTCTCCACCGATTTTGAACATCGTGCCCGTCCCGTCCCCTGTCTTTGAAGCCCCGGCTCCTGCTGCCATGGTGCTGTGTGAGGTTCAGCTTCCCCGTGAGCTGGGTCCCCGCGCTGCAGAGGAGAGCTGTTTTGGGTGACCAAGCTGCATGGGTGAGGCGGCAGAGTGAGCAGAGTCACGAATGTATTTGCAATTATTCTGTTAAACCTCTCCAGGGATTTTTTTTTTTTTTGGGTCACTCCTTGTTTTTTTTGCGTGCCTGCGGGTTCAGAGGCTTTGCACGCCGGGGAGGGTGTGCGAAGGGGTGGCTTCAGAAGGCGTCTGCTTCCTCGCATCGAGAGCGGGAAGCTGGGAGGTCTGACGGGTGCAGCAGGTTAATCAGTGGTGGTGGCTGAAGCTCCAAAGATGCACTAGGTCTCGAAGCAGACCTTTCAACAACCCCTTGGTGCTTCTTTGAGCCTTTCTGCATGCAGTTGTGTCTTAGCAGAAGCAACAACCCACGTCTTGCTGGGGCAGGAGCAGTTATGGGTCTGCCAGCAGCCCTACACTTTACCCTGATCAAAAGATCAGGCAGATCTTTGCTGGAAGACCACGTCCCTCCTCCATCTCTGCCGCTTGCTTTGCTGCAGCATCCCCTGCCGTAAGTCCCGGCAGCCCTTGCCCGGTCCAGTCCTTCCCGGCATCCCGCAGGAGCTGCTTTTCGTGGCGCTGGGGCAGCTCACTGGCGTCGCCTTGCTTGGAGCTGCAGGGTTGATAGCATCCATGTTCAGCGAACCTCTTCCCCGAGCACTGCAGCAGGTTCACCACGTATTTATGAGGCTGAGTAGCTTAGCAGGGACATCTGAACACATCTTCAGCCCAGTCGAGTCCGAAGTGTTAAGCTGTTGTAACTCCTGCTAATGGATTTTGGTGGCAGCATGTTCAGACAACCTGTGGGCTGAGCTGGAGATGACCCGACCACACTTCACGTGTTAGTTCAGAAGCTTCCTTAATGCAATATTTGCTTGGACACAAATACGGTAAGTCCACAGACAGATGCTACAAAATAAACACAGCTGTCAGCCTTTGTCCCAGCCCCTTGAGTCAATCAATATGTCCATTAGTCTTTTATTCCAAAGCAGAGCCCTCAAACCCTTACTGCTTGTTTAGGTTTTAGCGTTATTATTTTTAAATTCTCCCTCTTGCTTGGAGGTGTTTATCTGGGCAGGGCCTTAATCCAGCAACACTGCAGGGCACAGCATTCCCCAGCCCATCCTCACAAGGCACTGCCTGTTCCTGACGCCGAAATGGGGCAAAGTCTTTCCCGGAGGAGTAACGTCGTGATCTTGCCCGAGGTACTTTCGCCTGGTTTTGTAGCATAATTAGGTGTAACGCTATTACGGCGTCGGGTTTGAATATGGGTAGGTGAAGCTCACGTGACAATTTGCTTTGCGCCGTCTTTGACTCGACCTAGACCCAGGCTTTGAGACTTGGTTCAGGCTTGGCTCATCTCCAGCTCTCTCTTAACGGCGCTGTCTGGTGTTGGCCAAGGCCTGAGGAGATGTTGCTGAAGTCCTCCAGCCTTTGCAGGGCAAGTCTGGAGTGCTCTGAAGGAGTCACTCTGGATTTACACCAGTGATGGTGATCCAGGAGCGGGACCAGCATCCTAAGTGATGGGTTTGGGTCTGGAGTGATGTGAGGGTAGGGACTCACCCCACATGATGGAAGTTCATGTGCTGCTTCCCATCCGCTGCATCACCGTAACTGCTTTCTCAGCCCGTCCTGCAGAGCTTGAGCTGCAACTTTAAACGAAGCTTTAGTGTGCTGGGAGTAAAGGTAGCCTTGGCATGAGCTTGGAGGCCAGAGATGCTCCAGGTGTGGTGGGACAGGGGGAAGCCCAGACCCCCAGCTCTGCAACCAAGTCAGACAGCAGTTGCAAAACACTCAGGTTGCACAAGAGCTTTGCAGCAGAGACGGGGCCTGGAAACTGTGAAAGGACAGAAGACAGCAGCTGGCTTTCAAAGCTGCAGACCAAGAGCTTCTTGTGTGAGGGCTCCAGCTCCTTCCTTTCCCCTGTGTAACTGGTTCCTCCTGAGCACGATCTGATGGCAAGCCGGGTTTTGGTTGTCAAATGGAAGTACGTCATAGCTTAACCCCCTGTTTTCCACCCTCTCAGAAGGGAATATGTGCAGAGGAGGAGGAGGCTCCAGCGCTGAGAAGGTGGAGTGCAGGTACACTGGTCTGATTTGGACCGTGAGGTCTGCGAGCAAGAAAAGAGAAGGAGAAGCACAAGGTTTGGTGGGAGTGATAGCAGTTCCAGTCGGCAATAGCGAGCCTGTTGAACCACATCTAAAGACGTAAGGATTCGGTTCCTGGCTCTGACGTGCATCTGCTGGCCGAGTGTCTTGGTCCTCTGCTCCCAGTGTATAGCCTGGGGATAACACTATTACTTCTTTTATTGATGTGTTGTGAGGTTTTGCTATGCTCTCACCTCTGGAGTAGTGCCACGGCACTTACACTCGCCGTGGAGATCAGGTTCCTGGGGGCACCTCTCTGCAGAGGGGCAGAAGGTCTTGGTTTTGCTGCAGGAGCAACAGTGACTTGGCCCAAATATTTGAATTAAGAGCCAGGTGGTGCAGGCTTTGCTGGCAGAGGAGCGAGGACCTCTTTATGCCGGTACCTGCCCAGAAGAAGAGGCAGCTCAGTGCCAAGCGCAGGCAGCACTTGAGCCAAGGTGAGTGTCTCCAGTTGTCACCCTGCCTGGGGGACAGGAGCTCTGCCCAGCCCCTGTGTGGGCTGTAATGCTGCCATAAAGCAATGGCACGTTGGGTGCCCCGGTGGGGGTTGGCCCTGAAGAAGGTAGGCAGCGCTTGGTCTTGCAGGAGCCTTGCGTGTCTAGGAGTCCGTCTCCTGTCTGTCCTTCCTTGTGTGTCTAGGAGTCCATCTCCTGTCTGTCCTTCCAATAAGAGGAGGGGGTCCCTGGACTGGTAATGGTGGTATCGGAGCGCATGGCCGGTGGTACCCCACAGTCCTGTCCTTGGGTGAGCACCCATTGTGTCCCTGGTGCGTGCACCCTGGGTCGCTTGGAGTGGCACCAATGCGTGGAGGTATGGTGTGGGTGGCACGGGGGGACGAGGGGATGGTGTGCATCACAGGTCAGCAATGGATAGATACCGTCAGAGACCTTGCTGTGGACTATCTGCAAAGCAGAAATCCCAGGCATTGGGACTGTGTTCATACAGGAGAGATGTTGTGAACTCTTTGGGATTTTGGTGTCTCTGTGCTGCCTGGGTTCCCCTGGGATTGAGCAGAGAGGTCCTTGGACCAGCAAAGCTGTTTTCCAGTCTGCAGCCACCCTTCCGCTTCTGCACAAGTGGGAAAGATGCCGGGTGCTCAGACCTGCTACACCCTTCCCATGGGAGTCTCTGCCAGAAAACTGATGTTGTTTGCCCGTGGGGAGAGAGAGGAGACGAGCGAGCA